GCACTGCCAGGAGGAAGGCTTGAAGCCAATCGTAATCAGTCATGTTGCTCTTGGCTGCTGCCTGGTGTAGCCATGGGCGTTGCTGTAGTACATCTTCGCAGCGCTGGAGGATGAAGCTGCGCGCTGAGGTTCTGTCACTTTGCTGTGCTAGTCGGAGTAGAGTTCGAAACTACGAGCAGCTGACCTTCCCATGCGCGTTTGCTGACGGCCTCGTTTCTGGCAGCTGCTGGATCGTCGGGTGCATGTCGAATCGCGTGGAATGCGCATCGATCAAGGGACGAAAGGATTTCTGGCGATGGCGTCTCCGTGCCTCGCGTGGATTTGCATGTCTTTAATGTCTTGCCTTCATTCGAGTCACATCAACGATGATGCGCTGGCTGTCAGAAAAGGCTTCCACGTACAAGGATCGTGCTCAAAGGCTTCATTGTCCGGGAGGTCGTCGATCAAGTAGTGATCCTCATATTGGGATTCGTCGGCGTATGCCAGTGGAACATCCTTCCGTGACTGGGTGCGATGAAGTCTTTGGAGCGACTGGAGCAGCCTGCACGCCCGGCGAATCTTAAGTTGGCAAAGCATCGGACTTGCATTGCCAGCTTGCGCGTTCGGCAGCAAGACATGTGCTGAGGGAGAACGCGCCAGCACAGCTCCATGTTGGTGCTGTACTTGCCGAACTTGATCGAGCCGCATGTCGCCGCTCAATTCCCTGTCGAGTCTTTCCCACGTTCATCGGCCATGACATGGCGCGCAGGCCAAGGGAATCGTCGGTTATGTGGGTCGGGCTCAAGCCCGGGACCTGGAATGTGACAGGCTTCGGTCATCTCCCCGGTCTGTCCTGGGTTCCTATGTCAAAAGCATGGCGAGCCGCAGAGATAAGTATGTAGCTGATCTGGGGTTGGCTGTTTCGCGTGGTTTGCTGTTCTGTGTTGCGGCGTGCAAATTTCCTGTGCGCCTGGGGCGCACAGCATGTCTGACCAGCTATACGGGGCTGCCTGTGATCCGAAACGGCTCTGTCAGTTGAAGTTCCTCATGTGTCAACTTGAATGGTATCCACAATCTTCTTGGACAGCCAGCATGTAACTATTGTGGTGTAGCGCACGAACTCGCTGCTTACGCCTATGGGGTCTGCAAGGTCCCTGTCGCACGCGCTCTTGTTGTATGTGCTCTAGCGTGAAAGCGGCACCATGTCCGCCGGCCAGGATTAGGCTCTCGTTTCTTTACGTGAGGCTGCGCGCAAGATGGGTGCACTTCGCACCGTGTCGGTGCACTGTACATGCCGTGTTTCTGTAGCACGACTGATTAGCATCTTCAGCGTGGGGATTGGAATGCCGGCATACGGTATTGCGCCTCCGGATTCTGTTGGTCTCCGTGGGGTCTTTTTCCCTCCCGTGGTCACTTCTGCATCGCGTCGTCTTGCATCAGATTCAGGAGTGCGCCGTCGAGTTTCTGAGCTGCAATGCTGAGAGGGCTTCTGCCGAATTGGTCTTTGTGCTGTTTGTCGGCTTTGGCTTGCAACAGCGCCTGAACGACCTGCAAATCTGGCGGCTTTCTGTAAAGCAAAGCGAGTCTGAGAGCGGTGCGGCCAAAGCTGTCCTCTCGGTTTACTTCTCCGGCAGCTTTCAAGATTGAGCACACCACTGTTTCGGGAGCTCCGTGTGCTGCAGCTTGCAACAAGGCCGTCTGTCCGTCCAGTCTTGTATTCGGATCCGCTCTGGCTCGGAGCAGCATTGCGACTATTCCGCAGTGACCTCTGCCCGCAGCCAGGGCGAGGGCTGTGCGGCGAGCATGGACGCTGAAGAGGAGTTGATGAGCTCCCTTCAGCACGAGGTGGCAGATGTGCGAGTCCACTGCGGCTTGCGCGTTCAGAAGCCAGAGTACGGCGTGCTCGTTGCCTCCGTAGGCTGCGCTGCAGAGGCATGCGGGCAGGATGCAAACATTCGCGTTTTCGGCAGTCTGGACGAGTTGCTGCATGAACGTCGGGTTTGCGTGCATCACTGCAGCACGCACCAAGGATACGGTGCTGGCGAGCGTGCGAGGATGTATGTAATCTAGATAATCCCTTGGGGTTGGTTGCATGGCCCAGCTGTTGGCATCCCGAAGCATGGGCTGTACGTCTGCTTTTGCTGACAGCAACATGGCTACTGTCTTGGGCGCTTCACGCTGAAATGACCCTTGCTCGGGACGACGCTGGCATGCTATGTCTATGGGCATTATTCGGTTCTTGGAACCGTTCGGGTCGGCCCGATGCTTTAGCAGCAGTCGCACGCATTCGTCTTCTCCGTGCTTCAGTGCCGTGCAGAGCATCCCTTGGTTTTCGGGCCGGTCAAGAGCTGCTTTGGCTTCTAGCAGCGTCAACAGAACCGTTTTCGTGCGTGGTCCCTGGTTCAGCAACGCAAACTCCAATGCTGTGATAGGACGCGGGAGGTATCGGGGAAAGGTTGTGTTTGGATCAACCGGTCGCCAAAGCAATTTCTTCAATTTTGCCGTGTCTTGCTCGTAGAGAGCTTCTCGGAGGTTTCGGGAGACTTGGCTATTGCTGTTGGTCCGCACGTAGGGCAGGAGGACTACCTGCAAATCCTCCGCGGAAGAGAAGCGCCGAACGCCATTCTTTCGAAGCCTCTGCCCGTCGTGAAGTAGCCTGATCCTGTACTTGGAAACGCCGCAAACGGGCTCTAAGTACGTAAGCAGGTCCATCGGCGTTCTATGTCGATGTGTGTTTGTTTTAGCTACGACTTCCCCGCTCAACTTGCAGATACGAAGCTGCTGTGGACCGGAGGCCTTCCGCCGCGTTCGTCGAGCGAATTTGCCCGGCCTGCGTAGCGGGGCTTGCTTTGCGGCGGGGAAGATGCCATCCATGGCTTCGAGTGCCGAAGGAACAAAACTCTGAGGGTGCTGAATCTGCTCGGCTAGCCGTTTCGCTGCTGCTGCTTGCACTGTAGCAGTATTGTGTGACGTCATGGACATGTTTCGGCTTGAAAAGCAGCATGGCGTCATTTGCAAGGTTTGCATCTGTTGCTTGCTCGGAATGCTATCAGCCATGCCTCGCTGCGGACGCAGCTGCGAACTTTGCGTTGCTGCTGTGGCTGCCGGGTGCGCGCCAAGCATGTTTTGTCTTTTGCCGCGATCTGTCCGTGTCGGAATGGCTCAGCGTGAAACTTCTCTCGAACGAGCGGGCCTTGCCCGTGCTGTGCCTGCCTCTGCGCCGGTCGGTGGAAGTTTGCCGTCGCGACTCGATCGCTGTTTCTTGTGAGGACGCGCAGTGTCCACGGCCCGTGGTTTCTGTCGCACTTGCTTTGCGAAACGACCTGGGGTCCAGCTGCTTTTCTTACTTTTTCGTCTTCGGTGTCGTGCCTTGCCCAGGAGCAGATTCTGCGCCCAGCGATGTTTGGTGGCCTGGTCGATGTCGTACAGGAACATCGCACGCAGGAGGTGTTTCCCTAATTCGGCTTTGGCGTGCAGCAGCAGCTGTGCGGTGTCGGGCTTGTTTTGCATGCATGCTTGGATCAGAGGTGGCTCCGCAAGGAAGCTGCGAAAGTTCGGGTTTGCTCGAGCCGTCAGCAAGCGCGCGACTACCGCATTGTTTCCTTGAAATGTTGCCGCGCACAGGGCGCTCCCTCCTTCCCCTTCGGCGCCGTCTGCGTCCGGGTCGGCTCTGTGGAGCAGGAGCAACTCAACGGCTCCTATGTTTCCTTCCTTTGCGGCATGCCAAAGTGCCGTTCCGTCGGCTACGCCACCGGCGGCATTGATGTTTGCGCCGGCTTCGAGCAGGGCTGCCAGGGCGTCTAGATGGTTTGCCATGGCCGCCGCGGCCATTGCCGTTGTTTTTGCCTCCGAGCTTGCGTCCTCATGTCGAATGAATCGCTTCAAATCTGCACGAGCCCGCAGCAGCGAGACCGCAACATCCTGACTGTCTGCGATGCAGGCTGCGATCAGAGGTGTTCTGTCATGGATATCACGGGACTCGAGGTTGGCACGGGCTCGGATGAGCATCTCGGCGGTATAGTCGTGGTTCTGCCAAGCTGCCTCGAGGAGGGCCGTTTCGCCGCGGGCGTTTGTGTTGTCTAGTTCCGCACGTGCGCGGAGGAGCACTTGCACCGCGCGTGCACTGCCTTCCCCTGCTGCCCACCAGAGTGCTATGTTGTTCCCGGGCGCATGCATGTCGGCACGTGCTTCTAGCAAGAGCTCGATGATGCATTCGTGGTTCTCGCGAGCCGCTGCCTGGAGGGCGGTCACGACTCGATCTCCACATTCGCTCTCGTCGTCGCTGTCGTCTTGGGCGTCGGTGTCTTTGGGCAATGCCAAGGGTGCGTTGACGTCTTGTGGCCGGTGCAAAATCTTTGCAACTTGTACTTCGTTTCCCTGGTGGCAGGCGTGGATCAGTTGGAGTACGTTCTCGTGCGTGGCGGGAATGTAGCTCAGCAGCACGAAATGGAGTTCTGCCGGAAGAGCTATCTCATCTTGGTCTTCCAGGGGGTTGGCGCCGTTGAAAAGCCTTTGTCGGAATCGCGGCATTCCGTGCGTGATCTGCAACTGCTTCTTCAGCTGGCCAGCGGTCGCAGGCTCAGGTAGTTCGGGCAGCTCGGACAGCTCTTCTCCGGACAAGGTGTAGATGCGCAGGCTTGCGGTCGTCATTTGGCTGTTGAGCGTCTGTTTGACCATGCGTCGCTTGTGGCTGTGCCAGGGCCGGACGGGGCAATTTGCGATTTCTCGAGCCTGACTCCTGCGGACAGTCATGTTGTTGACTACGAGACACGCTGTACACGTGGCGTGGCGTGGAATGGAAGCCCTGGCAGCCCCGGACGTGACCTGTCGGTGTCATGCCGCACCATGCACCTTTTGTCGCATTTTTCTACCGGCAGGCCCACGTTCCGGTCTCTCATGCCGTGTCTCTGTCGGAAAGAATACCGTTGTTGTCAGAGACTCTGCTGCCATGGATTCTTGCTGCTTCTCGTGGAGTTTGCCGGGGGCTTTCAACTTCGCGCCTGGTGAAGACGCCAGATACTTCAAGGGGAGCGTGCTGCTTCGCTCGCGACCCTGCCGGAGTCCTCGGACTGTGTGGCTGCGTCCTTATGCTCCTTCTCGTGGACTTTGCGATCTTTGCGTTCACTGTGCACGTCGGCTCCGCTTGCCCCTTCCGAGGATGGACTTCGACTTCTCTTCTTTGGCATGGGGATGTACCTGTCCCATTTGGATTGGCGCGGTGGTCGGAAGTAGGGGACGAGAGGTTCTATGCGTCTGATCGCGTGGATGCGAATCCCATAGCTCTTCTTGTGCGCCTTGCCGTGGTGCCAGCCCTCGACGCGCTGTGCGTTGATCTCGTCGGGGGTCATTTCCTCCGCGCTCGCGATGTCGCCGTACCCGTGGATGACCCCTTGGCTTGCTAGCCAAACGGGGCCGGTTTTGGAGCGTCGCCCGTGCATGACCGTACTCTGCGTTCCTGTCAGCAGTCTGTCCAAGGTCGCTTGGCTCAGCGACATGATTCGGTCGTCTTTCATAGGATGCGAGTTCGGTCTGGTCAGTATCATTGATGTGTCGGCGACCTCTTCGCTGCCGTCGAGCTGCGTCACGGCAGGTTCGGTGGCTCGTGTCGGAGGTGCCGAGCTTGAACGTGTCGGCTGAGGCGGAGACGCGTTGGCGCGGCTGCTGCAGTTCTCTTTGCCGGGCTTCCTTTCCGCTTGCTTTCCTTGTCGTTCTGGCCTGCAGATGTCCGCCTCCGTGACTTGCAGCGGTCCATTTTGAGTCCCCTCGTCGTTGATGTCTGCAGCAGGTTGTTCTGCCTCTGGGGCTTGCTCGGCATTCGTCTTCGGCAAGAGCTCCTGCACCGCGTCGGTGCCATCTCGCGGCTCGGGCGTGGGAATATCCATGGCCGTCAGACGGGCGTCTTCGCTCTACTTCCCTGGGTGCCTTCTCTGCTTCGGGCTGCTTTTGATTGTGGCTTGCGGCATCGTGCTATTTGCAGTAGAATCAATTTTATTCACTTGTCTTACACAACACTGTTGCAAGCGGCCCCGCCGTTCCTTTTCTGTCCCGGAAGTCCAACTGTCGGCGAAATTTCCGCCCTGCTCAGGTGTCGGCCTCGCGCGTCTGCCTTTGTGTTTGTGTCGTGCTAGCCGGGTTAATTTCTATGACTGGGCAAGATGGTGGTAGGAGGCATCTGGGGATCGCTATTTTGCTTCTGCGCTGCGTCCTGTGCTATGCGGGCCGGCGGGCGCGCGCTGGAAGTTCGCCTCGGTTTTCGCAGCGACTCTGCTATCTGTTATCTCGCAGTTGCAAGCGCTCCCGATCACATAATTGGATCTCGGCGGGTTGCTCGTCTCGATGGATCCTTCGAATCCTTCTATCCGGAAGATGATGATGAGGCGGGCTCCGTCGTTGATCTCTGCGGACGGCATGTAATAGAACCGGGCTCGCGAAGCGGTCAAGAAGTCGCTGACCAGCATTCCCGCCGCTCGAGTTGCTTTCGGCCAGGCGTTGATCACCAGCACGGCTTCGGCGGGATTCAAGCTGCCGAGTCCGGCCTGTTCCAACCAGTTTCTGGCGGCTTCTTGCGTCCCCATCGTGGAAGCTTGGGGATGGCTATCCATGTCCTTCCAAAAGTTTTCGTGTGGCCGCGATGCTCGAACGCGAAGTTTGTATGGGTTGGCCAAGCCGGGAAGGCGCAGTCGACCGTCCACCAGGGGTCGCAGTGCGAAGCGCAGCTCGTGGATGATGCGCCGTATGCGGGGAACGATCTTGGCGCTTCCGTCCCTCGTTCTCGAATCCATCTGGAGGAGCGGTATCAGGTCTGCCTTTTCGAGATAGGGAGGCAGCAGCGGCACGATCGTGCTGCAGCGATTTTGCCATGGCATGCCTCGGTTGCTTCGACTGTCTTTCTTGCGGGCGTGCCTGATCGCTTGTTCCAATACGGCTCTGGCTTCTGTGGTCCGAGCTCGACGCGGCATGCTGTAGGACTGCGTTTTTGCGATGCTGAATCTTCAACAGGCGGCGGCTTTTTCTTTTTGGCGGCGCAGGCAAGGAGCATCGCTTGGGTTTCGTGGTGCAGAACCGGTACGTTCTCGACCCAGGGCTCGTCGCCGTTGTCAGGGTGCGTGCCTACTATGTACATGAAAGACACGACTTGGCCGTAGTACTCTTGGACGATGTAGCGGTAAACATTCAGCTGCAAGCGGTAATGCCACAGGGCGCAGTCGGGCACGGAATTCAAGGGTGGACGTAGGAATTTGCCGAAGGCTTCACTCTTCTTGCTCATGCTGCGTGTGCGCTTCCAATCCACCAACACCTGGCTTCCGTCCTGGAGCTCTGCGACGAAGTCGATGCTGCCAGCAATGTCTTCTCTGTCTGCGCAGACTCGCCATTCCGTCCGGTATGCGACCATATCCGGGTGGCGGCGTAGGAATCGCAGAAAGAGCGCAATTTCGGGTGTTTGGGAGGGCACCGAACCTCCGTTTAGCAAGCATTCGAACTGAGCGTGCATCCAAGTTCCTTCCCGTGCGCCAGTGTTTCTTGCTGTCTCCCATTTGCTGCAGATTTCGGACTCCGACATACACACGGTCCGCAACGTGTCCTCCAGGACCTGCCGTTGCTTTTGATTCCGGTCGGTTGAAGCTTGCCTCAGCGCTTGTAGTAGCCCGCACACATCGGCTTCGTCTTGCCGGTTCTCGCTCGCCAGCTCTGTTCGGATGGGTTCGGTGCCGGGGGCGTGTTGCAGGATCTTGGAGAGCTCGTTGGTTGACAAGGGTTTCAAGTAGCCCGGGCGAGGCCAGCGTGATCCTTGCATCATGGCTTGGATCACTCGATTTTCGCAGAAGGGCTCTGTGAACGAATGAACCATTTGGGTCACGGACGTTTTGATTCTGTGCCCTTTCCAAAAGTAAACGTGCTCCTTGGCGCAAAAGGAGAGATCTCGATCCCGAGCATGGCCATTCACTTCTCGCAATCGATCCGCAATGAACTCTTCCGGAAGGTATGCCGGAAGTTCTGCAGGTCGAAGCGGAAATTCCGTTGCTCTCGTGTCGAGCCGGAGCAACTTTGGCGGCAGGCGTTTGCCCAAACCCTGGTTTTCCAGGGTGATCCTGCCTGAAGAGCTTGGGGTGATGTGCTTCTTTCTTTCGTGGTCGCCGTCGTTCTTCAAGCGCTTTGCCTTGGGGGAAGCCATGGCCGTTGCCTGTCGCTGCCGGATGACGGGTGACTTCAGGCCTCATATGTTGAGCCATGCGCGGCTTGCTGCAGTAGTTGAATGCACGTTCATCTATGCGCTGCACGGTCCACCGTCGTTGCATGAAAGGTGCTGCTATTGCCGCAACCCTCCCACCAACCCTCACGTGATCTGCTGCTTTTTCCTGTGTTTTCTTTCGCCCATTGGACTGCTGTTTGTGGAACTCATAGTCTATGTCTCGGAATGGCATTTTCGCGTGATCGAAGGCAAAGACGTGGTGTTGGCGAAAAGATTATTCCGAGAGAAGGGGTAACGCTTGGAATGGCCCTCTGGACGATCCATCTCCACGTCAGGCGGTGGAAATCTGCTCCGGTCAACACGATTTGGAACTCTGCTTCCATTTCTAGGTATTCTGATCGAATGGGCTTGATCTGCTTGTCGTGCCAGTTCGGAAAGGCGTTACTCTCGTTGGGCAATGTCATCTCACGAAGCTGGTTGCTTATGGCTTTCTGAGTGGCTAGCAACGAGTTGGTGCATGACAGACTCCATCTTCTGCTTTCCAGCTGGAACCAATGGATGCATCGACGGAGCTGACATTGCACAGTAACTCTCCAACGACGTATGAGGCCAGCTTCTTGCAGCGCTCGCGTCAAGAGTTGCGTTTGAAGCAATGCTTCGGGATCATCTTTGTCGTCGTGTCTGATGATGAGCCGGTGCTTGGTCCCTGCGAAGTCCAAGATCAAGCTCCACATGACAGCCGGTAGTTTCGGCTTGTTGGGCGTGGTCTTGCTGGTGTCCCGGCTTTTGGTCTGAGTGCACTCGTGAAGGACTTGAGCATGGCCTGGCGAGCGTTTGTAGTCGGTGCTGCCGGCCGACTTGGCATTCTGTCGGGCGAGACGCTGTCCGGCATTCGTCTGCGCGGTGTCGGTGCGGTAGCAGCTCTGTGTAGCCATGGCGCGGCTGCCCGCACTGCTACAACTGCTACAGTGCTACAGCGCGATGCTTGCGATTGAATGTTCTACGGCACGTAAGGATCGGCGAAAGGGACATTGCGGCGATTGGCTTTGTCTTTGCGCAGCGGCTAGTGGCAAGGTGGCTGCCACGCTGCATGCTTTTTCTCGTCTCGCGGCTACTCGCTTGTTTGCGTGCTGTCGCCAGTCTCTGCTTCGGTCATAGTTTGGTGCAGTTGTTTAATCTCTTCGCCTCCGCCAGTGGTGGCCATACACGGCCCGGCCTTCG